TCGATGACCGTTCGACAGTCGTTCGATGACCGTTCAATTGCCGTTGATTTCCGTTCGATGACTGTTCGATCAAGGTTGATCGTATTATATTATATCATGCTAAGTTGCATGGGAACATGCATACCAGCGGCCTTCCTCTTAGCCCGACGCACCCCCTCCGAAATATATTACACTTTTATTATTACTTATTATTATACTTTATTATATTTTTATATTTTACATTAAATTTTATATTTTATATTTTAAATTATTATTCTTAATTTTAAGTACACACACACACACACCCACACACATTGTATAGTACACGCACATTTTAAAATAAATTTTATATATTTTAATTGGGAAAAAAATTATTATTTACGCGCCTCTCCTTGCGTTCACATCCCTTGCATCTCTCTTGCGCTACTTGTAAGTTTCGCGTTAATCATAAGTCTCTCTTTTGTATGCGTTCTCTTCACTTTATCGTTCTCTCTCACTCGCATTGTTCACGCGCTATTATCGTTCTAAGTCTCGCGATATTATAGTTCTCTTTCGCACGCGTTGTTTTCGCTCTCTCTCTCTCCTTCTCTCTCTTTCATATGCTCGTTACTCACTTACCTTTGAATCGTTCTTTTCCCACCTATGCAGCATCTTATATTGCGTCGTCCTTGTCCCACGTTGACACCTTGTTACACGTGGATGCCATCCTTGTTGCATTGTCCTCTTCATACACTTAGTGTTATCCTTTTCCCATATGTCGTGCTATCCTTCTCACACCATCATTTTCTTTCCGCGGATTCCCTTTCTCCTCAGGGACCCCCTCGTCCATCGCTCGCGCCGCGGATCCTCCTTCCTCGCGCGTGACGTCACTCTTCCCTGCACTGCGGTTCTCCTCACGCCTCACCCTCTCTGAGGACTTGAGTTAGAACCCGCCTAGTCTTACTATTTATACACACACACACACAGTATATATAGTGTGTGTGTGTGTATGTGTATATACATAAATACATATACAGGGTGAGGAAAAAGTACCGGGACACCTAAATAACTTCTGAACGGTTTGAGATATCGGATTGAAATTTACAAGGTTACAATGGTATCACACAATCTATCACATAACACCAAAAACGCCCATTTTGACATTTCCGAGGGGCGGGGGGGAGGGAGGGCGAGAAAATTTTAAATGGAATGTGGGGTCGAGTGAGGGTTCGTTTGAAAGAGCTTTTCGAGATGAGAACAACGCGATGTCGCCGAGGTCTCTACGATTTTTTTTCGCAGAGTTATGATCATTTAAACATTGAGATTTCGCAGTAGCGGAGGGCCCACGACGAGGACGTGAGAAAGACTTTCCACGGACACGTGTGGATAAAATTGCATGTAGGAAGGCATGTGGGGTGTGCATGCTTGCGCAGTAATTAACGGCTCCAAACCACCTCTGCTGTGTGCGTGTGCGTGTATGTGTGTGTGTGTGTGTGTGTGTGTGCGTACGTGTGTGTGTGTGCGCGCGCGCGCGCGTGTGTATAAATACCTGTAATAAATACCTTTCTTGAGTTAAATAAAATTTTTTTATTTCAAGATAATCTTTCCCTCATTGTAACAATGTTAATTTCTTATTCAAATTAATAGTTATATACAAGATGTGTCATCTTATATGTATATATATATATATATATATATATATATATATATATACATATATCCCATTACACAAAGCAACAGTAACATAAGATTAATGCTATAATTTTTAACTCAATAATGTAATTATAATATGACATATCTTGTATATAACTGTTAATTTGAATAAGAAGTTAACATTGTTACACTGAAAGAAAGATTATCTTGAAATAAAAAAATTTTATTTAACTCAAGAAAGCTATTTATTCGGTGAATACCCAGATAGCACAAGGATATCCTATTTTTATCCGTGGATATCCTTTGGACGTCCTCGGGAAGAAGAAATGATAGCTGTATATTAGCCTCTGGAAAGTCCAGGGACATCCTGTGGAACATTCTAAGGATTTCTACAGGATATGTTAGGGATATTTTTCATATGTTTTAAGGAGCAAATTCTGAGCATCAATGTAATTTTTTCCTAAAAGCAAAAACGTAAAAAATGAAAAGTTTTTCGTGAATTTGATAAATAAAATTGCCGAATTCGTGCAAAACTTTTCACTTTTTACATTTTCGCTCTTAGGGAAAAGTTACATGATTGATGCTCTGAAAATGAAATAAACTAATATTACGTTCTGTTATTCATTGTGACTATTAAAATGTAATACTGAAAATAGTTCGTCATTTAATATTTATTATTAATTAAAAACAAATTACATTAATTTATTATTTTTAAATTATAAGTATTATTTATTTTTAAATTTAATGTTAATTAATATAATTTATTAATTATATTAATTATATTAATTAATATTAAATTTAAAAATTACAAACACTTATATGTTACAAAAAATAAAATTTTGATTTTCGCAAAAAACAGTAATAGGAAATGAGTGAACTTATATAAATAATTTGTTACGTCCAGACCCTGAAAGGATGGACTGTATGGAAGAACATAACTTACTTATCCGTGACACACTTTATTCGGGCTTGTGTATGGATCGGGTCGAACGAATATGAAGGGCCTGACACAGGTCAGCGACCGTAGGTCTCTTTAACTCTGCGTTTTTACGCCTATTCGTTCGGTGGTCCCTTTTCGGTAAAGGAATTTAATCCTTGTTACGCGGGATAGGACCTAGTGCGATCTCAGGGTTTAGGGAAGAGAACGGATTAAATAATTAAATTCTACATTAAATTAAAAAATACATATATTATATAAAAAAATATAAGGAAAGAAAAATACATCTTAGCAGTTATAGTTATGCATGAGTGAGTATGTGTGCGTGTATGTATATATTCTCGAGTATGTGTTATTATAGTTAGAATTAAAATTTTCTAAATTCGGCGAAATACAGGTCCAAATTAAAATACAATAATAAAATTGAGATAAAAGATTCGCCAAGTCTAAGTTCGAAAATTATTCATCTATTTCAATGATTTCTCCCAAAGTAGTGATAATACAAAGGAAAATAATATAAAGAGGAAGAAAGAAAAAAAAGGAAAAATAATAATAATAATGCAAGGAATGGGAAATTAAAAGAAAATGAAAGGGAGTAAAGAAAAAAATAGAAATGAAGAGTTAAATATATATATAAAGAAGGGCTTAAACGAAATATAAAGATAGAAAACAATACGAATTCTTGGTAAATAAATCAGAAAAGGCAACTAAAAGGAAATGAAAATTAAGGAATCTTTCGCGAACCGCCTTGCGGAGATTCTCAACGAACAAGGAAATGTTCGTGAATCGCCTTGCGGAGATTCTCGACGAACAGGTAAATTATTCACGAACCGCCTTGCGGAGATTCTAGGCGAATTTGAAAGAACTAGGAATGAGACTGGAGAAGAGGTGAGACAAGGATTGATAGTAATTAATAAAAATTTAATGATTATTAATTGTTTAAAATTATTAGTCAGACATAGATTTTAAATGATGAGATAGTAAGATATGGGAAAGGAAGAAAATAAAAATTATTCAAATTTACTCACAACTCATTGGGATCAATAAAATAAGTGCGTTGATAAAATTGCAATGGCTGAAGTCGGAGATTTATAACATAAAGAGCCGAGTAATGGAGATGTCCATCAGAAATTTCACACGATGCACAATTAAATGTTAACAAAATCATTTTCACTGTGATATAAAACAAATTAATAACTTAATTGCATAATGCAAGAAAAGGATCCCCGAGGCTATATAATTTTAAAATTGAATGGCTGAATCTTGACTGGAGCTGTCAACTGTACTGCTTATAGTCCTAGTTAGTGCTTCTTAGTGGACGCTTAGTGAACTAAATAGCAAGTGAACTAATGAACTAGAGAACTAATGAACTAATGAACTAGAGAACAAGTAAGCTCTCGCGCCTTGCGCTTGCATTTTTTAAAGTAGTTGCTCCTCCTCCTTAGTGGATGGTGGGAATCTTTGAAAATCGAATCAAATGATTTCTATTACTCCCTTCTTAGGGCCAAGGAGTTAGATTTTCAGTAAGAGAGGAGTATCTTAAGGTTTTTTTTGGTTAAGCCCTTTTGCGCGAGATTTAGCTCCATCCAGTAGAGTGGGAGCGAGGAGCTGATTATCTTATCGCTTGATGATTGAGAATGGCCTGTCGAACGAACGCACGTGCAATATTAATTTATGTTTACCTCTGGTCAATTTCTCGAGGACCACAGGCTCTTTGTTTAAAATCTCTAAGATAAACCAAGGATACGAGTGATTCGAATTTCATATACTTCCGAGTCTCATAATTCAAAAATTTGTTTAGGTTTTCCTTAGCGCTATCTCGATTGGCCACTCTCAATATTATGTTTAAATGATTATATACGCGGTTTAGATTCCGTTTTTCTATGCGCTATCATTATTCGAACAAGGATTGCTTTGTGCTTAAAATGCAAATCGATTCTTGATTTTTCTTTCACGGTATCATTTCAAAGAAAGAAAAGAATCGTGGAGTCCACTGGACGTAACAAATTTATTTAAATAAGTTTATTTGCATGAAAAAGTTTTTTTTATTTTGTGCAAATAAATTTATGTGAACAAAAAAACTTAAACTCAAAGTTGAAGTTAAACTTTAAACTAAAACTAAACGATTTAAACCAAAACTTTAAAACTACATTTAAAATAAATGTGTATTTATATATATAATAACTTTTATCTATTAAATTACATAACTGTATAAAATATGTGAACGCTTTTAACATTTGTACTTTATATTCATAAAATAGAAAAATAAATGAATAATTTTCTTCATAATAATATATGCGTGTGTCACTCTGTATATAATATTTTTCCACATTTGTAACAAATTACTACGTGATGCATTTATATATTTGTGTCATCTATCCTGTGAAAATAAATGATAATTAATAACTTATTAATAAATACCGTGTATTTAAGAAAATTTGTAAAAACTTATTTATTTTTCTTTAGATAACGCTCATTCGCATGTCGTAACCAAGATTTGATTGGCTCGGAAATACAATATTCAGTTGCTTCTGCAAATCGAAGTCGTACAACATCTAAAAAAATAACAAGTTACATAAATTACATTTATAAATAAATATTGTTTTTATCATGTATATTTAAATACTTGATTATTTACTCACTAAATATAATTTTTCGGAGTTGTAAATCATAAAATATCCGTTTTTTTTTCCTCCAACATAACTAAATGTAGAAGCTAACTTATCTGACATTAACACTCGTAAAAGATTAAAAGTGATGTCTTTGATATTATTTCCTCCAATAGATGATAGCTGCTTAATCTATAAAAGTGAAAAATATATAAGAAAAATTCTAATAAGTAAAATTACAATCTGTCGTACAAATTGGCAACTTCAGTTAGAATGCTATATGTATCTACATTAAGCTTTTATTCTATCAACAGAGCTTGTTAATATAATTTGAGATTGAGGATTTATCCGATGCTGCCGATATCTGATATCCAAAATAACAAAGTTTTTTTTTAAGAATTCTTACTTTTTAAGAAGCTATTATTATGAACATCATCATACGTTGGACACCAAAAAGACCATTAGATTTCTGTTAACATTCTACTAACTAAATTAATAAGAATAGAAACACAGACACTTGGAGAAATTTGTTTTAATAGATTTGACTATTAAGAATATAATTTTATACATACACTTAATAAAATTTTTTAATATATTTACCAATTCTTTGCGGTTAATAATATTATCCTTTAACGATTTTTCGAATTTTTCCAGATCCTCAATATTGTCAATAGGAAAATTATCCATTAAAGATTCTTCTGCAATTTGTTTGTCCAAAATTTCTTCATGAAAAACATTTCTCAAGTTTACGTAACATAATATCAATTCTATTGTTTAAAAGTCTTTCTTGTTCTTCTATTGAAGATAATTTAAATCCTATATCTGTTAATTTTCTTATTATATAGCGTTGAAAATCAGAGTTTGCTAAAAATATAAAATAAAATTATTGAAATATAAATATTAATAAAACATAAAATTATTTTAATAGATTCATAAATCACATTTCACACTTACATGAACTATTATTATTTTCAGTTTTATAATGGTTATTAAGAGATTCATCATCATATATAATTTCTTCATCTTTATCAAGTATTGCTACAAAAAATACATGTTTTAAAAATATTTTAATGATATTCTTATGATAATTATAAAAATTACCTCCACAATCATCAGCCAAATTGTACGTTGCTTGATTTGTTTCTGTTAAATTAATTTTTTTTCCAATTCTTTTTTTTCAAAGGTATATATCCTTTCTATATTTCAATATAAATAATAAGTTTAATTAAATTATTGTGTTATAAAAAAATATGTATTATTTATTTTTTACATACTTAATTGTTGCTTCGACTTATTATGAAATATATTCATTTTCGTTTCACGTGTATCCTTTTTTATATGTGGAATTTTAGGATAGGGTGGTAATTGAATCCTTTCATCATCATTAGTAGCGTTATCATCGCTGCTTGATATTGTTTTTTTGGCGCTATTCTTTCGAGATTTTTTTAACTCTTCAGAGTCATCGCTCTCTGAATTTATGTCCGATATAAATTCTGCTTTTTTTAATTTAAGTAGTCCTTTCTCATATGTGTCTAAATAGAAGATATAATTTATTAATGCTTAACACAGTTAAAAGAAACACAACATTATATTTTTAATTTATAACAGCAATTTCTTAACATTAAACATTTATTTTGTTTATATAACATTTATTTTTTTGTTTTGTTTATAACTTACTTGAAGTAGCTAAGATCCTTTTCACGTTATACATGGGCTAATTATCGTCAGATAAAATATTTTTCTGCATAGCTTTTACAAATCTCACATGTGAAGTAAATTGTGGCCAATAAGCAGCATCTTCTCATCTTTTATTAGCCAGGAAGTGGGAATCAGTAGGAGTATAGGGAGAGTTCTAACTCGGGTCCTCTCAGGGGGGGTGAGGCGCGCGGGGGATTACGAAGGCGCGGGGGAATGACGTCACGCGGGACGGAGGGATTTCGGCGGCGGTGCGTGTTAGATGTTTTATGGCAATATTATATTACATGCCCGGCTGATAAACAGTATTGCGCGTACGGACATGTTCGGTTTATAAATAATATAAATATCAGCATTTTTTGAATTGAGATTATGATCGTATAATAGGGATGTGACATTATCGCCATATCGTCGTAAACGCCTCGTAAAAAGTACGCGCGGTCTCATATATTTATCGAAAGTATATGAAATATTGTATCGCATGCCCTGTTGATAAATAATATAAACATCTGCATTTCTTTGAAATGCATCGCGTGCGAGAACAACGCGTGCGAGGGAAAGAGACTTAAGATTAACGCATGAGAGAGAACGATACTTATAACTAGCGCAGGGATGGGAACGCAAGAAGAGGTCTGTAAATAATCACATTTTTTCCAATTAAAAATATAAAATTTAATAAAATGTGTATGACTAATAAAATAATAAGTATAAAATAATAAGAAAAATATAAAATATAAAATTTAATCCGTTATATTATAGAGTGCCCATAGCTCATCAAAATTTACATAACAATCGTCATTATGATTTCTACTTATTGTTAGATCTCCATTCAGATTATTTTATTCTCCATTCTGATCTCTATTCAGATTTTTCATCTCTCCTGAAACATTCTCCTACAAAAAATCACCCAAAAATAATTACTTGAATATTTTAAATTAATTTCGTAATTATATTAGAAAAAATTATCCGTTACCTGTACATTCTCTTCCTGTTGCTTTTTCTTTTCATATGCATACTTTTTGTATATAATTTCAGGCGGACATTTGCATTTACGAGATTGACATTGTGTACAATACCGCGTTATATATAATAATTTATGATGATTACCAGCAATGCATTTTCTAAAATCATCATATTCAATATTATGATAAAAATCATTCCAGATTATTAAATCTATGTACGTTTGGTTTATGCCCGTTGGGATACGTATATTTATACACGGCGTGTATGTGCAGTCATTGATACACCTATCTACCCAACTGTAATCGACATTTTTATATATATAAACATGGTTCTCATATTCAAATATTTGGTCGCAATTATAGCGTCTAATACATTGGTATTGCCACCCATCTTCTGAGTCTATGATTCGAATAATTTTACGTTTACTGCCGAAATAAGAGTAATCATCATCATCATCGTATACATCAATTGAGAAGTGTGTCTTCCGAATTTCACGAAAAATTTTCAGTTGTACATGATCGGGCTATTCGATATACCCATTCTCGTACATATTAACCTCGGCTTGTCTGACGAAACGTTGCTTACGCATACCTCGTATGCCTAATTCTCGATCGCGCACATATTGTGTTATCGATATCTGTTGTGACGTGATGCATTTTAAGCTCCGTCCCGATTTCCCTGCCGAGGGAAAACAGCGTGCGCGGGGTCGTCTCTCGCGCCTGAGAGGAGACTACCGTTAGTTATTATTCAATTGTTTAGCCCTATTTTTTAGCGAAATTTAAGACCCGCGATTCGAATACGGCTACTGTGCGTGCGTGCAAGATCGACAAGTTGTAAAGGAAGCTACCGCTAGATATCGAGGATACCGAAGATATCGAGGATACCGAGGATACCGAGGATACCACAGGAATAAAGTCAAGTAGTAAGATCCCGCGCCACCGCGCTTTATAATGTAATTGGAGATTGAATCTGCATTATTTCAGATTGTAAAAGAAACGGCAGCAAACCCAGACGACGGTGATGAAGGCAACTTTCCAGGCAGCTGACTGGAAAAACAGAAATCTCGGGAGGAGACGCGGAGACGGCCTGGCCAGCCGGCCACGTCCCCGAGAATCGGCATCACGAATTACCGTCGTTCACAAGTACTGGGCCCCTGCGTAAGGGCAACGCCGTACAACAGCAGCAACGTTCGAGGGGGCGGAGAATCAACCCCGTTTCCCCGAAATCGACAAGATGCGCGGAGGATCGGCGCGGGATTCGAGGGCCTTACGAGCACAGACGAAGATCGTCACTGTATGGTGAGCTAGTGACCAGTGCACAGCAACCAGAATCCGGAAGAGACGACCCTGAGGGAGCCGCCACCCACACTAATTGTAAGCCGTCGCACAGGTAGCCGACTAGAAAAATTACTCCGGGATCAGCTGGTGTCATCGTGTCGAGATACCGTCACCGGGCGGCTATCGTACCGTAAAGAAAAATTACCGAGAAGTTGGATACTTGTACCGTAATTATCGGACGCCAGCTGTCACCGGGGTCGCGGAATTGTCCCTCTCAGGGGTGTTCGTACCGACAGTCCGTAGTATTATGTATCGTTTCCGTACCGTTTAGAATTGTATCGTTTCTGTTAACATTTTTCTTGTATCGATACTCCGAGCGTGACGCGGCGATTTTTGATCGAGTATACCGCATACCGGAAGGCGGGATTTGAGCGAGTAATTTCTTCGCGAGCGTGTGTTACCGGAATTAAGAGAACGGCTCTGCAAGAATATTGTCCTACGCGAAATCTCCGCCGAAAAGTATTTAACGTACCGCTTGTTCGAAATTTCCGTTACGCGGACGTTGTGATATTGTTAACGAAACAAAAGGTCGTGCTGCGACCGTTACATCGGGTAAACAATTTCCGTCTACCTCCTTGAAACTACCGTTAAAGAAAGCGTTTGTTTTTCATCAAGACTTTGTCGAAAGTCATCGTTAATTGCCGTAGGAAAAGGTTCGATTCGAGTTATATCGAACTTTTATAAAATACGTATATCGTCTATTTCGGGTTAAAATTCCGTTTATTTCGTAGTTATCTATTGTTCTTTACCGTTAATTGTCGTTGAGCGTAAAAGTTACCGTCACCATTGTATGAAAATTCAGGTTCGATTTATATCGATATTGAGCACGAGGCTCGCGCCTCCAGGAGTGTTCGTAAACCATCCGCGTATAATCGTCTGTTCGTGAAATCCCCGTACACTCTGGTTACCGTTAATTACGTGGATTACCGCCAATAAACTAGTTGAGAATTATAACGAAATTTGTTAGCGAGACGAACGTCTCGGCATACGAGCCGAAATCAGACGTAATTCGTTCTCGAGTTTGGTAGAGATTTCGCCGCTAATGTTCACGGCCTTCGATTACCGTCATTATTGAAAGGCTAAACTATTTTTTTAATACCGTTTTTTTTCCTTTTCTTTTATTGCCGACTCAGAGTCAAAATTTCACGTAGCCTCTCTGAGAGTATTGTATCTGACCTTCGCATCAGCCGTTATAGCGTGTCCATTGTTTCCGCAATTTATAAAATAACCGTTATATTTTCGAAATTTATCTGCTTTCTTTTATTATTTTATCTTGTGCCTTGCGTTCTTGTATATTTACCGGTATATTTACCGAGTTTATCGCTATTATATTAAATTTATCGCTATTATATTAACTTTATCGCTATTATATTAAATTTATCGCTATTATATTAACTTTGTCGCTATTATATTAAATTTTATCCATATTATATTCAAGTCGATTATACTGTTCATGGTGTGTGTATTCTAACATTTCAATATATGTAATTAATTCTGACCAAATAACTGAGTAATCATTTCTCTCGCCTAACAGTAATCTAGCGCTCTCTCCCCCTTACCGTAACTAATTCACAAAGAACTCTGCCCTTCTGCCATAAACTGAGCTTGCCGTTACCGTTTCGATAT